CCGACGCCGGTGACCAGCTGAGGGAGCAGCCTGTCCGCACGCGCAGCCCCGGCCGACTTTGACCTTGGCCCCACACCAGAGTGCTGGTGTCACTAAAGCATTTTAAGAAGGCAGCCGTCACTTTGCTCCAGGAGATCGGGCTTTTCTTTAAGTGTCCCTTGGAATTTGGGTTATTTGGGTGAGTTTTCTGGCATTTTAAGTATTTCCCCGTAACTGAAACATTTTTTTGAGAATACTTCACGACTCAAAATATATGTGACGCTGTCTGGGAAGTGCCCAGCCATGGGTCATATAAAGAGGATGGGTGGCTGGCTGGCTACTTTCCGGTGGCCCTCGTGACCCTGAGCGTGGCTTAGCCCGTGGCTCCAGTTCTCACCTGGCTGAATGTGGTTGACGTTTAATGCTGGCGCCACCAGCCACGTGTGGCTGTTTAGATGTCAAGGTAAGGAGATGCATGAAATTAGAACTTCCTTCATTGCCTTAGCCGTATGCCATTTGCTCAGTAGCCTTGTGGCTAGTGGCTGCCATATTGGACAGCATAGATCATCTAGAATATTCCATCACCACTAGACGTTCTGTTGGAAGCACCGTGTCTGTCTAACTCGGGCTCTAGGTGTTTTGGAGCCCAGTAGTTGGGGTCAGTAACTCACATGTGGTAGGACATAAGGCACAACACGACGTTCTTTCAGGGAAGAGCGAGTTCACTCCGTGTTCTTATCACAACAAAACATATGTCATTCACGTCACCAACTATGAGTGTTTGAAACCCTCTCAAAGCTGCATAACAAACTGTCTAAAGGACCCAGAGTCGGCTCCATACACTGGGCGAGACCATTCCATACCCTATTTGGGTCATTAATGAATACGTTTTCATACATGTTTCTGTCTTCCATCCTTTTTCTATTCTCACCTGTTTGGACCCAGTATCTACATGGTTTTGGTCTCCCTTAATTTCTTGAAGCCAGTGCTGAAATCCCAGAGTCATAGCTTGCGATTCGGCATCCTTGCGCCCCGGGCTCTGCCGAGTGCTCTAATCCCATCAACGCCGACGCCACAAGCCACCTGCCAGGTGCGCCTTTGCTCAGCCCATTTGCGGAAGAGGAAAGCCCAGTGCAGAGGAAGGAAGTCTGTTGTCTGAGGTCCCACAGTGAGAAAAAGGGGAGCTAAAGGCGAGCTGCAGTGTGCTACCCGAGGGACTGAGCCGTCACCTGCGAACTTCCCTCCTGACGCCCCCGGTCCGGGCAAAGCTGCTCTCCCACGCTCCGGGGCATGCTGTGGCAGGCGCATGTCTCATTAGTTCTGAAGTCATGGCAACAGTTGAAAAACAAGGACTGGTTGAGCATCCCTCATCTGAAAATCTGAAATGCTCCAAAACAGGAGACTTTTTGAGCACTGACGTGACGCTCAATGGACGTGATTTTCAGACGAGGGATGCTCAGCCAGTGAATATAGCACAAATATTACAACCCCCCCCCCCAAAAAAAAAGCCTGAAATCTAAAATGCTTCTGGTCCCAAGCATTTCAGACAGGGAATGCTCAACCTGCAGCACAAATTACCCTTTAAAGGAGGGCGGTGGTGGCAGCGGGAATCTCTCTAGAAGTCAGCTCGCCTTTCTCTCCGTCTGGCCCGGCCAGCGCGTCCTCATCGGAAGAAATCGCTGCCGCGGCGCCAACCGTGCTGCGTGCACTGTTTGCAGCGTGTTGTGCTGAGGCTTCACCTGTGCTGATGCGTTCAACGTTGCCGCGACCCTGGCAGAGGCTCGCTCGACCTGTTTTCAAGTACATAGCTCTGTTTTGTGTGCCTACAAGAGGGAGACGATCAAAGTATGATTCCACAAGTCAGTCGATTGCCACACAAAGAATTTTTTCCCTTAGGCTCGCAATGCTTAAAGGGAGGAGGAGGACCAGAACAAACTCCCCGGAACACACTCGATGGGCGTGGTATTAGCCCCACACGGCGAGTGAGCTCAAAAACCATTAAAGTCGAGTCGCTCAACCGGGGTGTGAGCGCACTGCGGAGCGCGCCGTCTAACGCAGCCGCACGGTGGGCGCGGGCGGCTCTCGGAGAAACTGGCTCGCCTGACGCGGTGGAGACCCGTGACGACCCTGGGGTCCCCGCACACCGGAGTGGGGCCCTGGTGTTGGCCGTGAGGCTTCTGAGCGGAACGGCAACGGCGTTCGGCCTGGCCCGTCCCGGCCTGGTGTCCTCCTCGGAGCGGCCGACAGCGCGGCCCGCCGCGGCCCGAGCCCCCGCGGTTGTCGAGCTCAGGCCTGTGTGTGTTTTGGAGTCCTGGTCACGTTCTCACGGCAGGAGGGGTCGCCGGGGAGAGTTCGCTCCAAGTTCTTGTCGCAGCAAATGTCACTCGTGCAGCAAACTGTGTGAGTGCTTGGATCATTTCGAGCTGCGTAAAAAGCTTCTCAAGCTTTGGCGAAACAGTGGAGCTTATGTCTGGCGTATGTCCAAGGGTCGTGATGTGTTAAATGTCATACTTTTATTTTTTATTTTGTTTCCTTTTCTTTTTTCTTTTTTGAGACAGAGTCTCACTCTGTTGCCCAGGCTAGAGTGAGTGCCGTGGCCTCAGCCTAGCTCGCAGCAACCTCAATCTCCTGGGCTCAAGCGATCCTCCTGCCTCAGCCTCCTGAGTAGCTGGGACTACAGGCATGTGCCACCATGCCCGGCTAATTTTTTCCTATATATATTAGTTGGCCAATTAATTTCTTTCTATTTATAGTAGAGATGGGGTCTGGCTCTTGCTCAGGCTGGTTTCAAACTTCTGACCTCGAGCAATCCACCCGCCTCGGCCTCCCAGAGTGCTAGGATTACAGCCCTGAGCCACTGTGCCCAGCCGAATGTCATACTTTTAAATAGGAAACTCACTCTTTTGGGCAAAGCCCGCCATCACCGGCCATGTGGGTGGCAGAAGCAGCGGAGAGCAGGTGCACGCCGCCCACCGTCCCCCGCGTGACTGGCAGACGCCAGCACCCAGGATACGACTTAGGGTATTTGGGGGCTGGAGCTCTGGAGCTGAGTTTGCAAGTTAGAGGCAGACATGCTGTGACCGCGCCATCCATCTGCAAGGACGGGTCAGCGTGGGTGATGTTTCTTCCCCTCCTGGCAGAGGAGGGGGGGTGAGACCCCCCTCATTTCCTCATTTCCCCTCGGGGCTCTCTTCCTGCAGGTTGGAGAGCTGCAGCCTCACAGGTGTGGGCTGCCGTGCCCTGTCCACAGCCCTGGCCAGAAACCGGAGCCTGACGCACCTGTGCCTGTCCAACAACCACCTGGGGGACGAGGCCGTGGCCCTGCTGTGCCAGTCCATAAGGCTGCCCAGCTGCGGTCTGCGGAAGCTGATGTGAGTCACGCTTGCTTCACGGGGTGGGGGGGGCTTCGTCACTTTCCAGCAAATAGCATGGTCTTGTGCTAAAGCTCAAAGCGGGGGGAGCGTGGAAATCACCTGGAGGGACTGGGTGTGTGCTGGACCCTGTCCTGGTGATCAGCTCCCAGATCTCATCCTACCTTGGAAATTCCACCTCTGCCTTTATGTTTCCCTGTTTGTTTTTTATTTTTAGTTTTTCTTTTTTTGAGATGGAGTCTCTCTCTGTTGCCCTAGGTAGAATGTCATGGCATCATCATAACTCACTGCAACCTCCAACTTCTAGGCTCAAGTGATCCTCCTGCCTCAGCCTCCTGAGTAGCTGGGATTGCAGGGGTGTGTCACCACGCCCGGCTAATTTTTTATATTTTTTGTAGAGATGAGGGTCTCACTTTTGCACAGGCTGGTCTGAAAGGATCCTCCCACCTTGGCCTCCCAGAGTGCTCCCAGGATTACAGGTGTGAGCCACCGCACCCAACCTGCATTTGTGTTTTCTTACAGTGGGAAGTTGTCATTCGAACAACCAATTCTCGTAATTTGAGGATATCGTGTTCTGTAAAGTCTCCCCAAACACTGAATTAGCCGACACTGAGCCGCTGCCCTGGGTGATGTGGGGTTAGGTTTCCGTGAGCCTCCGGTCACGTTGTCATCGACTGATCAAATACTTCACACTTGTCACGGTGTGAGCCGAACAAGCTCAGCCCCAGCCGGAACACGAGAGACTGGAGACTGCCTGCTCTGCGCTCGGGCGTGTCGGAAGGCCCGGAGTGCCACCAGTGGCGACTTTGGGGGGTTACCAATAAAGTTTAGCAAGTAGGAAAACTCCCCAACACAGAGTCCGTGGACAACGAGGACCGGACGTATTTCCTGAGCACCTGCTGTGGGCACACACTGAGCCGCCAGTGACGCGGAGGCGAAAGACTGACGCGGTTCCTATTTCTACGTAGCTTAAATCCTGGGGTGGGGGGATAGTAAATGAGACTTTTGGGTGACGGCGGTGGCCCAGGCCACAGCCACAGACTGTGCGTGACTCCAAGGGGCGCCCCCCACACACACACAGACGACGTGACCCGCGTCCTCCTGCTGCTGTAAAACAAGGCGCCCGCGTAGCTGCTGCAGATCTGCCTCTGTGTGCTGCCAAGTCGCTTTTATCGTGAATCTTTGGCTTGTGAGACAGACTTTTGTTCCTGTTCAATGCAGTTTTCCCTCTTTATCTGTGAGGGTTGATTCCAGGACGCCCCACGGTACCAGATCCCTCCACGGACGCTCACGCCCCTCGTGTGAGGTGTCTGCACGCGACCACGCACGTCCTCCCGTGCACCGTGAGCCGGCTCTGGATCGCTGCTGCTGCCACCTGGGGCAGTGTCGGCGCTGAGCAAATGGCTACACTGTGCTTTTGCTTGTGCTGTCTTTACTGTCATATTTTGGGGTTTTTAAAGAATACTCTTGATGCACAGTTGGGTGAACCTGCAGATGCAGAGGGCCAGCTAGCCCGCCCACTTACTCCGCCTGGGCTCACTTCGCTTTCTTGAGCAGTGACATGCTAATGTGTGGCCAGAAATTGCGTTAAAGACCTAACCCGAGTGTGTGTGGCTCCCCGACAATCAGCTCCAGGGTCCCCAGTGAGGGCAGGGCAGGGAGATGCTGGGTTTTTATGGGGAGAACAGTGACGCGCCCCCAAGACAGGTCCATGTCCTGATGCCCCAATCTGTAACTGTGATCCGACACGGCAGAAGGGCCGAGTGGATGTGGTTAAGCGTGCCGAGGGGCAGTTACCCTGGCGGATTCTCTGGGTGGCCAGTGCAGTCACCGGGTCCTCCTAGGGAAAGCAAAGCGGCAGGGGACGTGGCCGTGGAGCTCGGCGAGGCCCTGCAGGCTGGGGCCAGGCGTCAGGGCTGCGGGGCCCCTCGAGGCTGGAGAGGGCAGGAAACAGTCCCCAGAGGAAGGCGGCCCTGCGACGCCGTGACTCACCTCTGACCTCCGGAACCGCAAGATAACAAATACCTGTTGTGAGCAACTGGGTTTGTGGCCATTTGTTATGGCAGCCGTAGGAACGTTGTCGTGGGGACAAGAAGGTCCGAGGACCTTGACGAGCATCCAGCCGGGTCTCATGCCAGTCACCGTGCCAGGTGCTTTGTGACCGGCCCGTTGTCTGAGCCCATAGCACCTTAAACACACGCGACCCCCCCCTCCCCCAGCCCGGGAGCAGCCTGGCCGGGAGAAGTCGAGCGTCTGCCCAGGTCGCCCTGGGGAGCTGGCGTGACCCTCTCCTCCCCCGTGTGCCCACAGACTGAACCAGTGCCACCTGGACGTGGACAGCTGCGACTTCGTCGCGGTCACGGTGTTGGAGAGCCCACGCCTGACGCACCTGACCCTGAACTGGAACCCGCTGCAGGACGAGGGCGTGAGCCTGCTGTGCAAGGCCATGCTGGAGCCGCGGTGCCCGCTGCAGGACCTGGAGTGAGTTCCCCGTGGGGCTGGGGCTTCCGCACCGGGCCGGGGGGCCTGGAAGGTCAACAGGATGGAACCAAAAGCTAGTCCCAGGGTCCGTGGGTGGCGGCATGCCAGGGGACGCTGTGGGTGAGCTGACGTGCTGGCGTTGCCACGGGCGTGGGGAAGGAACCCTGAGTTCCGAATCACCCTTGGTGCCCAAGCCTGCCGGTTGTCGGGGGAGGTCTTGCTGCCGCTGACCGCCAGCTGCTCCTCTGCACGTGGAATGGGGCCCTTGTCTCGCTCTTCACCTCTTTCCCTCTGGGCTCAAATTTCTTCACCCCTCTTTGGAATTCGTCTGTCCAATAGGAGTGTCCCACCCTCCCACAGACCACAGAAAAGCTGGACGATCTCAATGAGCAGGACATGTCGCTAGCCTCTCAGTCATCGCTGTCTGTAGGCTGGGTGTCCCCTGGGGTTGTTCCTAGATGTACACGTGCATTTAATGTTTTACGAAGGAGCCACGGTGGGCGACGGGCAGGTCAACTTGCCGTGTGGCAGGCACAGGGCTCTGAACAGTGCGTGTGTGATCTCCTGTGGTCACCCCACCACCAGTCGTACCTAGCAGGGAACTAGGACTCCCAGAGACCAAAGCCTTGGCTTCAATATCGCATTCCGTCTGAGGATGCGCAGATTATACTAAATGAAACACAGATGGTGTTCCACAAAATGGTGTTCCATGATGCCAAACACCTCCAGCCGGACGCTCGGCGGGCGTCCAGTGTGCTAGTCACGTGTGCCTTGGCACCCCTTGTGTGCTCGGTAGTCCTCTTATCAGTCACAAAGACAGGCTTGACGGACCGAAGCATGGGGCCGTTCTGAGATCGCTCCCTTCCCAGTAATACAGGAGTTGAATGTCGATCGCAGTCCAGACTTGCGAGTGCCCCCAGGGACTGACTCCCCTTTGTTCTAACTACTCTGGCATTCCCCGCCCTGTTCCGCATGGCCGAGAAGCAGTCTGTCAGTCGGGTGTCCTTTCTTTGGGGTTGCATTCAAACGTGAGACTCTTTCCCTCAGGAAAGGGCTGAGCGTGGAGGTGGGGGATGTTGGGTGTGACCGGCGGTGTCTTTGGAGAAAGAAAGGAGCACCCAGAGCCTGTGTTCCGCCTGGCTTTGCGCCGTGGCCTCGTGACGGGTGGGAAGAGGGACATGCTCTGAGACTGCTCCGCCCCGGGACACGGGGCTTGCCACCCCGCCCCGCCTGGGAGGAGAGCGGAGACCCCCGCCGTCAGCCCCAGGCCCCTCTGTGTCTCGGGGCTCCCCGGCGCCGCTCTCCCGTCGGCTCTGCCGCTTGGCCAGGGCCGAGCAGCTTCCACTCGCTCACGCTGCGTTCCTCTCTTCCTCCCGTCGGAGATCTTGGCGCGAACTCCAGGCGGGAAACAAACTCTGGGGGCTCGTTTCTTTGTCTGAAGATACTATCCATCACATCTAACATTTCCCCGCCCTCCACCACCACCCTTTCCTGACCCAATAGATACCACGCAGTCTGAGACTCACAGGGAGGGCCAGGGATGTCCTCGGTCAGGGAGGGACAGGGGTGTCCTCGGTCAGGGAGGGCCAGGGGAGTCCCCCGGTCAGGGAGGGCCAGGGGTGTCCCCCCCGTCAGGGAGGGCCAGGGGAGTCCCCCGGTCAGGGAGGGACAGGGATGTCCCCCGGTCAGGGAGGGACAGGGGAGTCCCCGTCAGCGGTCCTGGCGTGCCCCACTGCAGCACATGCCTCACAGGTGCCGTGTGCGCAGGTTGGTGGGGTGCCGCCTCACCGCCGCCTGCTGCAGGGACCTATCCTGCGTGGTCGCGAGAAGCAAACACCTGAAGAGCCTGGACCTGGCCGTCAACGCCGTGGGCGACAGTGGGGTTGCGGCGCTCTGCGAAGGACTGAGGCCCGGGACGGGCGCTCTGAGGAGACTCGGGTAACCGCGGGGTCACCTGCGAGGGCTGGGCGGGGCGGGGTCCCGAGCGTGAAGCTGCCTGGACAAGGTCGACGTTCTGGAGACTCCCCCACGCTAGGCGGGACACGCCCTGGCAGAGCCGGGTCTGGGCACGAGTCCCAGCTCCCCGCCTGCGTGTGACGGGAGCGGGACAGCAGGTGCCCGGGCGGGAGCGAGGTCTGGAGTAGAGAGCCCTCAGGTCCTCGTCGCACAGCCCGTGTGCTGGGCGTGGTGCTGGCTGGCACAGCGTGGTGAGGGTGGCATGTTCGGCCCGTGGGGGGAGGGGCAGAAGCAGCGATTGCACAGACGGTTCTCGAGCCGCACTGAGCGTCAGAATCACCCGGCCCGTACGCTGGGCTGTGGCTCAGCCACAAAGAGGAATGGCGCGAGCACACGCGACAACACGGCCGACCCTTGAAAATGCGGTGCTAAGGGGAAGAAGCCAGACACAGAGTCACATAGTGCGTGACTCCGTTTCTGTGAAAACATCCAGAATGGTCCAATCCATGGAGACAGTAGATGAGGGGTTGCCAGGGCCGGAGGAGGGACAGCTTAAGGGGTATGGGCTTCCTTTCGGGGTGACAGAATGTTCTGGAACTAGACAGAGGCGGTGGCTGCGCAGTGTTGTGAACTACTCTAGAAGGCGACGCTCGCTGCCACGCGCCGAGTGCTGCCCCTGCACCCCGCGTGCGCGGCCTGTGCACCCCGAGTGCTGCCCGTGCACCCCGCGTGCTGCCCCTGCACCCCAAGTGCTGCCCCTGCACCCCAAGTGCTGCCCCTGCACCCCGCGTGCGCGGCTCGTGCGCCTCCCGACACCCGGGAAGGTCGTGGGCGCAGGGCCTGCTCTGAGGACCATTTCCTTCTGAGTCGCACGTGGTCCAAGCTCCCGGCCACGTTCCGTGTCCCCCACATCTCTCCACGGGCCACGTCCCGTCCCTAGCTTCTGTCTGTTTCTCTTGCTTCGTGCTCTGCTATCTCTACCAGTCTTGTAGGTGCCGTCTGCTCTCAGCGCTCTGCCCGGCGCCACCCACGAGTCCTCCAAGGCCGGAGCGCCGCCTCCCCCTCCCTCCTAGGCGGCTGAGGGGCCGGGCACAACTACGCAGGTGCGGTGGCTCGCGCGGTCAGCCCTCACTGACGTACGGCTGCTTCCCCGGCGCCACGTCCTCCCAGCTTGTTTCCACTCCCTGAAACCATGGCTTCAAACGGCCACACCCTCTGGAGACGTTCGGGGCCCACCTTCTTCTTCCTGGCACGTACGAGTGGCCCTGCCCCTTTGAATTAATCTGAAGCCATTTACAGGAAAGCCCTACGCTTTCCATCACGAAGCCGACTGTCATCTGCGCCAGCATGCCCCTCTGCACCACGGAAGCGTCCCTGCCGCCATAACGTCACCCCTCTGGACTCCCACAGCCCCTGTCTGCGCAGCACCTTGTACTGTCCCTGCCGTCACTAACGTCACCCCTCTGGACTCCCACTGCCCCTGTCTGCATAGCACCTTGTACTGTCCCTGCCGTCACTAACGTCACCCCTCTGGTCTCCCACTGCCTGTCTGCACAGCACCTTGTACTGTCCCTGCCGTCACTAACGTCACCCCTCTGGACTCCCACAGCCCTTGTCTGTGCAGCACCTAGTACTGTCCCTGCATCACTAACGTCACCCCTCTGGACTCCCACTGCCCCTGTCTGCGCAGCACCTTGTACTGTCCCTGCATCACTAACGTCACCCCTCTGGTCTCCCACTGCCCCTGTCTGCGCAGCACCTTGTACTGTCCCTGCATCACTAACGTCACCCCTCTGGACTCCCACTGCCCCTGTCTGCGCAGCACCTAGTACTGTCCCTGCATCACTAACGTCACCCCTCTGGTCTCCCACTGCCCCTGTCTGCGCAGCACCTTGTACTGTCCCTGCCGTCACTAACGTCACCCCTCTGGACTCCCACAGCCTGTCTGTGTAGCACCTTGTACTGTCCCTGCCGTCACTAACGTCACCCCTCTGGACTCCCACTGCCCCCTGTCTGCGCAGCACCTTGTACTGTCCCTGCCGTCACTAACGTCACCCCTCTGGGACTGCCACGGCCCCTGTCTGTGTAGCACCTTACCTTGTACTGTCCCTGCCGTCACTAACGTCACCCCTCTGGACTCCCACAGCCCCTGTCTGTGCAGCACCTTGTACTGTCCCTGCCGTCACTAACGTCACCCCTCTGGACTCTCACAGCCCCTGTCTGCGCAGCACCTTGTACTGTCCCTGCCGTCACTAATGTCACCCCTCTGGGACTCTCGCAGCCCCTGTCTGTTCAGCACCTTGTACCATCATTGGTTTACCTGCCCCTTGCCTAGATCCTCAGCCCTCCCTACTGGGCGTGTTCTGTCTCTACAAATGCTTCGACGTTATTTTAGAAGCAAAACTGAAAAGCAAGCAAGCGAGCCTCCGTTCAGTCCCATCGCGCCGCCCAGCTACAGGTGGCTGAAACGGCTTGAGCTGCCTCTCCCCAGCTTCTCACTCTGCCGTGAGAATTGCAAAATGCACAGCCCTGAACAACCAAGACACTTAAACCTGTACGTCCACCACCTAGTTTACATGCTCATCGGTATGTTTTCTCTCTGGTCAACTATTTCATAGCAAGTTATGTATTTTTGACATTCTGCCCCGAAAATATCTCCACACACATCTCCAAAAATAGCAGAACACTCCTCTAGAATGCCATTATTGCATGTAATGTCATCCCTTGGCTTTCTGTTGCTCTTCAGATAAAACCCTAAATCCTTAATACGGCCTGAAATGTCCAACCTCGCTCCATACCACTGCCTCGGACTGCGCTCTGGCGTCCGGTCGGTTTGTTTCTCAGCTGTGCCCCTCCGCTCCGTCCACAGCCTGGGGTGGTGCAGTTTTGCACGTCGGTGTATACAGTGGGATATCCCTTCTCCTAGCCTACTTCTCCTTGTCTTTGAGTTTCAGAAACAATGTCACTTTCTCAGCAAGTCTTTCCCCACATTCCTTGTTGCATTCCTTTGTTACAAGCATTCTTAGCCTTTATCTTTCATTCTTTCCACAACCATAATTTGAGGCATCCAGCTCTCAAAGTGAGAACCAAGAGCAGTGGTGTCACCTGGGAATGCATTAGGAATGCAAATATGTGAGTCCCTCCCCGGAAATTCCTAAACCAGAAACTCTAGGGATGGAGCCTACCACTTTATTTTTTTAATTTTTTTAAACATCGAGGTGAAATTCATTTGGGTCGAATAAAGGTGCCATCCTTGCTCTTTGGGGTCATTTTCTGGGTGTCCTGACCCTGCAGGTTGCAGTCGTGTAGTTTGACCTCCGACTGCTGCGAGGCGCTCTCCGCCACCCTCACCTGCAACCAGAGCCTGACCAGTCTGAACTTGGCGCAGAACAGCTTCAGTCCCGAAGGAATGGTGAAGCTGTGCTCAGCCTTTGCACACCCCATCTGCAATCTGCAGTTAATTGGGTAAGTCCCAGGCAGTTGTCCTTGGAGACGCAAACCTTCTCTTACGGTCGTGTTAGTTGGTGGAGAAGCGGTTTATGAGAGCAGCTGAGGGGGGCTTTGCAACCAGATCTTTGTACAACCAACGAGTGCCCACTGTGTGCTGAGCACTGCTGGGTGCTGGGGAGACCAGGGTTTGGGAGATAGAGGCAGGGTGCCTGGTACCATGGAGCTTGCTTTCTTGGGTGGGTTGGGGGCTGTGGACAGACAGGAAGTGAAAGCAACCAGGTGTTCATGCACAAATGAATAAACTGAATGTAGTATATGCATATAATGGAATTTTATTCAGCCTTAAAAAGAAAGGAGATTATGACACACGCTGCAATATATATGATCTTTGAGGGTCATTATGCCAAGTGAAATAAGCCAGTCATAAAAAGGCATATACTGTGTGAATTCCACATGTATATGAGGTACCTACAATAGTCAAATTCATAGAGACAAAGTAGAATGGCAGTTTCCAGGGGATGGGGGGAGGGATTAGGGGATTGCTGTTTAGTGAGTACAGAGTGTTAGTTTCACAGATGAATGGTGGTGATGGCTGCACAACACGTGACTGTAATTAACACTACTGAACTATACACTTAATCACCGTTAGTGGCCAGGTGTGGTGGCTCACACCTGTAATCTCAATACTTTGAGAGGGCAAGACAGGAAGATCACTGGAGCCCAGGAATTCATAGACCAGGCTGGGCAACATAGCAAAACCCTGTCTCTATAAAAAATTAAATTGGCCAGGTGTGCCTGCAGTCCCAGCTACTCAGGAGGCTGACAGAGGAGGGTACCCTTGAGCCCAGGAATTCAAAGTTACAGTGAGCTATGATTGCCAACGTGGGAGAAAAAGAGAGATGCTGTCCCTCCCCCAGAAAAATGGTAAAGATAGTCAATTTTATGTTATATATTTTATCACAACTAAAAACTTACCTTTAGCATAACCACAGGTGGTAAGTACTCAGAAAGAAACTAAATAGTATGAGGGCATGATCAATGCAGGATGGCTTTAGATCGCGCGGTCAGAGTTCTCACTAAGAAACAGGTATTTGACCCGAGTCCTGGAGAGCAAGGCAGCTGCCTGAAGACCAGGCAGGCCCTTTTCTGTCTGAGGGATTCGAGGGCAAAGACTCCCAGAGCCGCCGGCCGGAGCGAGGGAAGGAGCAGTGACAGAAGACGAGGTTGATGAGACAATTACAATTCCACACTTACGTAGATGTCCCGAAGAACGGTGAAGGGACAGTCAAGTGCAAATGTGTGTGTGTTCACAATATGCAAAAAGTGAAATCCAGCCACCCTGCCACGAGGGGGTGTGTGAGTGAACAGGCAGAGCGCCGTCTGTCCACACGGGGGCGACACTCAGGATGGGAGGAGCCAAGCAGAGGCGGGCTGCAGCCAGGACAGACAGGCACGGGTCACGGGCTCCACGAGTCCGTCCCCATGAAACGTCCAGAGTACACAGCCCCATGGGGCTGCAGAGGGGCAGGGACAGCAACAGCGGTTGGGGGGCGCAAGTTCCTCGTGGGAAGCCGAGATTGTTGGGAGCCAGGAGGAGGTGGCTGTGCGACACGCAGTGAACGTGAGAACCGGGAGGAGGAGGTGGGTGTGTGACACGCAGTGAACGTGAGAACCGGGAGGAGGAGGTGGCTGTGGGACACGCAGTGAATGTGAGAACCGGGAGGAGGAGGTGGCTGTGCGACACGCAGTGAACGTGAGAACCGGGAGGAGGAGGTGGCTGTGGGACACGCAGTGAACGTGAGAACCGGGAGGAGGAGG